CCCTTGTTACCTTAAACCTTTACAATCTTGCAAGAACCCTAGTTCCATGGTTATTCCCCAAGAAGGTAAGTATTAAGTTCAAGAATCATAAAGATTACGCAAACCCTATGTCTATCCCTAGAATCATAAAGTTTACGATGAAATTATCAGATATGGATCACACACCAACATTCCTATTGTCATGCATTTACCTAAGATCAATATACAAGATTCAAGCTCATATAAAGCATTAAAAATAGATAATTTCATTCATGATAAAAAGGAAAATTAACATAACGAATTGTTCAAAGCATAATAAAGATCTTGAATTCCATCTAACCCTAACTACTAAAAGAACTAGCTGGACATAGCAATATCAAGAACGAAAGAAAATAATAAAGCTTCCTCAAACTCCATAAATGATTGGTGAATCTTCAATATCCCCAGTGCAGACTTGATGTTGATCCGTCTCCGCCGCTCACGAACATGAACTGATGAATTTCTCCGCGTTCCCTCTGCCTCTGAGTACTAGGAACTCTTCTTGAATGTGTAAAACTTTTTAATTCTGACCCCAAAATGTATTTATAAGGGTAAAGAATTCGTGCCCTAGGTGGAGACTTCAAGTGGGCTTAAGTTGGGTCTTTCAGGGCGCTTAAGCTTATTCATTCGCGCTTAAGTTTCCTAATTTACGAATTCAGAATTAACGTTCACGCTTAAGCTTGCTTGGGCGCGCTTAAGCCTGCTAAGAATTGCATGGAAAATTAACATGGCGCGCTTAAGCGCGCTGGAGAGCGCTTAATCGCGCTCTTCGAATCTGAACTTTTTTCTTGGCTTGCGCTTAAGCCCTGAGTTGGGGGCTTAAGCGCCTAGAGGCAGAGGCTCTTTGCATATTTAGGAATATTTTGGGGGCTTAAGCTCCATGTTGGAGGCTTAAGCCTCCTCTTCAACAACTTGATGATCTTGATTTTCTTTGGATAGATCCTCATATCTTCTAGTTTTGATCTCCATCTTTCATATCATCACATTTGACTCCATTTATCATCAAATCCCTTCAAAATAGCAAATATAATTTATTTTATTCATAATTAGGTAATGTTCATGATTTTATGTTAAAACCCTAGTTTTTGACTTGTTCAACTTGATAATTTATATTAATTTAACCTATAAAAACAAGATAAACTATAGGTTTATCAACAAGCAAACTTCATGACTAAGTAAAGCTTATCTCAGCCACCTAAGGTAACCAATTAGAAGACTTGCCGCCTACCACTTGCAAGCTGGTCATCTCCCAAGCTGCTCATCTCTCTAGTATAAATACATATATGTTAACACAAAGGTACACATCTTCTTCTACATAATTAAAACTTGCTTGAACCAAATCTGACTTGAGCATTGGAGTGTCTTGCAGGTACACCCCCTCACCTTGTTCCATTGAAGACCCATGGGTTAAAGCTGCTCCAACTGCAAGATGCTCTGACTTAAGACAATTCCAGGCCATTTGTGTAAAGAAAGATCACATGATCAGCCCAATTGTAAAACTGGTTCTGATCATTATGATCAGTCCAGTACAATATGGGCAACCTATAAGTTTTGGACCTAATCACACACGGTTGAAGAGTGAAGACTTTAGCTTTGTGGGCTTGCTGATGTCTGCTTATTGATTGATGCTAAGCTCCTTTGGTGCGATGGCTCTGGCTGGGGGTACCTGCAATGGCACTCCGACGCTCAAGTCAGTATCAAAGCTAGGCTTATGTTATATTCTTACTGGAATTAGATTATTATACCTGGGTGTGTACCCTTTGTTTATATAGTAAGTTTGATGTCGCCTTTGGTAGGTAGTATGTCTTCTGATTGGCTGTTTATGGGCTGCAGGTTTATCTGTTCTCAGCTGGTGCCTTTCTGGTTATACATCTACATGTCAGACTGTCATCTTAGAGTGGTGGGAAGCTGGAGCTGTCTTTAGTGTATTGGTTTATGGCGTGGTGGATCTTTGTCTGTTACAGAGTCCTTCCTTATCTTTCAAATTGTATAAGGAGGTTCAGGCGCAATGAAGCCATTGTGCCTTCAGGTTTTTATGCGCAATAGAGACATTGCGCATTTCTATGCGCCTGTATACTTCTGGGCCTATTTTGGACTTTCACCCTTTGTGGGCCTATTCTATTTTATCCAAATCAAATGTTATAAAAAAAATTTGACATAACTTTTATTAGGGTTTACTTCAACTTTAATGCTTCTTTTTAAATAATAAACAGGGAAAAATTTAGAATGTTTTCTAGTTCAATCTAAAATCAATTATTCAATTTCGTGCGTTTTTTATCTCTGTCTTCTTCTGTTGTTTTTTTTCATCAAAATTCACCATTAACCGTTTTTAAAAATTGGGTTAATATATGCATTTATTTGTGAACAGTAAAATAACCATTGGAAGGTATGTAATTAAATAAGAGGATAGAGGATAAGTGAATCTAGAGTAGTTTGCAAAGAAGTTTTTTTTTTTTTTATAACAATTACAAAAAAACCCATTTAACTTGTAAGGAACATGTGAAAATGAATAAGCTAGAGGGATTCTTTTGCACATCCATTAGAATTTATTGTCTAGAAATGTTGAGGAAAGTGTGAATTAGTGAAATCCAACATTGCTTAACAATGGATTGAGGGAGCATCATATAGGTGAAAGGATTTTTGCACTTGATAGGTTTTGAATTTTATTATGGTATCTAAACTCATTTAATGTCGTTACTCAATTAGACCATGGATTTTGGTCTTCTCACTCCTTAATCTGTCTATTTTTCCTACCCCTTTCAATACCGTTAGATTATAATCTCATCCAATGATAAAGATTTGCAAGATAAAATAAACTCTTTTACACCTCTCTCTCTCTCTCTCTCCTCTGCTTTCCCTCTTTTTTCTCTCCTCCCATAACATCTTCGGCCATCAGATATGGGTGGTGGTGGGGGGTTCTTAATTGTGGAGGATTGGAAGTGCTCGGAATTTGGGTTTTCAGCTGCAGAAAACTTTCTGAAATATTTCTTGTAGGAACCATAATATTTCAAAGATTTCTTGATAGATTGCTTCAAGCTCAAGAGAAATATATATTTTTAGATTACAATTAAAATTAAAATGGGAGTGGGAAGTAAGTATTTGGTGATCAGAAAATTATTTTAAAAAAAATAATGGCTTTTTGAGTTTTGAAAATTTGATATGGAAAGGGTCTTTCTCAGATAATTTGATAATTCATGGGTTTGATTTAGTTGTCTTTTAGTGAAGTTGAACTCCAAACACTCTCTCCCGGGGAGGAGAGACAAAGGATGAGAGGCAGGAGAGAAAGAAATAAAAGAGTTTATTTTATTTTGCAAATTTTCATATTGAATTATATTGTAATCTAACGATATTGAAAAGGGTAGGCAAAGTAGGCAGATTAAGGACTAAGCAGGGGAAGAATATACTTACCATAAAAAAAATTTATCACCTTTACAACTAACCTAATCATCGTTGATTTCTGTCAATCTAACAGTTATAATTTATTGGAAATTTTTGAATTTCATTTATTAATTAATTATTAATTTCCAATAAATCCAATAAATTATAATCGTTAGATTGAATGAAATCAACGGTAATTAGGTTAGTTTTAAAGGTGGTAAACTTTTTTATCCTACCCCAAGCCGAATAACCTAAATATTTGTAATAATTAATTTGGAGATACGTTATTTTACCTACTTCTTTTCTGCCTACCTTTGCGTTTTACTTTTCAATAACATTATATCATAATCTTAATTATCTATATCATTTTTGTCTCTTATTGAGATTCTCTAATAGTGTTGGAGAGTAACAGGTAAGAGTAGGTCCAATAATCTATCCCATTAATTTGATAGTTAAAAATAATAAATATAAGTTAATTTTATAAGAATGGGTATACTGTAACAGCTATAATACATCCAAGACAAAGGATTGTGTCTCCGATAAAAAGCGGCTATTTGGTTCTTCTGAGAAATTCAAAAACTTGAACTCAGTGTCTCAGTTTTTCTGATTTTGAATGCTGTGCGAGACACAGAGAGATTGGTCGATCATCAGAGACAAATCTAACAAGGGATGGAACTTCTTCACATTCACTCTTTTGTTTCCTTCTTCTTCTTCTTCTTTTTTGTTCCCTTTGGTTTTGCATCATTTGGTAAACATTCACTCTTTGGTTCTTCACATCCTTTGGAATTCTCGAGCGCCCCATTAACGATAAAGATTCAAAATCGAGTCTTTGATAGGAGTTCTCGAATCTTTATGCTATTTTCAATCGTGGGTAGCGTGTTTGAGAGAATAAATTTGTTTGGTTCAAGATTCCGTTCTCTTTATTCTTGTTGTGATCATGAATGGTCTCTGAACATGTCTTGCAAGGTGTTAAATGATGAGTCATTGTTCAAATGAACCAATTAGAGTAAAATCAGTTTTGGTTTGTATTTGGTGGACTCAACTCAGCTGTGTTATTTCTTTTCTCTTCAGTCATCAACTTTCTTGATGGTCCCTGTTATCGTTACAAGCAACTCTCTCTCTCTGGTGATTGTTTTTCCTTTTCTTAATTTTTGTAAAAGCCAGAGTGAAATTGAAATTCGTGATCAGCTTTTAGCCCTCAAATAACTATGAAAATTCTGATCTGATACTATCTTCTTTTTTCTTTTTGTTTTGGGTTAGAATCTCGTATGCTAAAACTTGTAACTTTATTGATGCTGGTACTGGTAATGTGGACACCCTGAACTGTTGCATAAGATTTTCATTCAAAACCATCAGAAACACTCATTATTCTTTTCATTCCTGACAATTCTGCTTCCTTTGTCTTTGATGGTCTAAAGTCCACAGTTTTTAATCCATGCATGTGTGGTATTATGAACTTGTGATGGTTGGTTTTCTGATATGTAGCATTGATGTGTGTGTGTGTGTGTATATATGTATATCGTACCTTGTAATTACGATCATATATTGACAAATACAGGGCATGTTAATTACAGACATACAGCCTCGTTGGTTGAAATCTCTGGATGATGGCTTGCTCCGATTCTTCAAGTGCAAAAGGGAAGTCTGTGATAGAGGATGTTGCTTCGAGGAAGCCTCGGATTCTACTTGCTGCTTGTGGAAGTGTTTCGGCGATAAAATTTGGACTTCTTTGTAGATGTTTTTCAAAATGGGCAGTTGTAGCAGCAGTTGTCACAATGCCATCTCTACGTTTTATTGATAAAGATTCAATTCCCCAGGGAGTAAATGTACTTTGTGATGAACATGATTGGGAATGTTGGAAAAGTATAGGTGATAGTGTGCTTCACATTGAGCTTTGTAAATGGGCTGATATCATGGTCATTGCTCCACTTTCAGCAAATACTCTTGGCAAGGTAATCAAACTGATAAAAAGTCTGCAGATTTTGCTCTTTAATTCTCTCTACATTGTCATATGATAAAACCCGTTATGAATAATCATTTCAAACCAAAAACTTAAGCCCTTTAGGTTAACGGGACAGTGAGAATCAAATTGATGACCATCTGCCACGACTTTAATATCTTGTAACAAATCATTTCAATCCAAAAACTTAAACTATTAATTTTATATTATATGACTTTAACACCGGCTTGTATAAGACTTACCTGTTTATATAATTAAAGATGAATTCACGATATTATGTGTTTCATTAAATGTTTAGTTGTCATGGTTACATCTTATATATATTTCTAATTATAGATATGGTGTTGCAGATTGTTGGAGGGTTGTCTGACAATCTATTGACATGTATAGTGCGAGCATGGGACAACAAAAAGCAAATGTTTGTTGCACCAGCCATGAACCTTTTAATGTGGAATAACCCTTTAACAGAACAGCAATGCATGTCCATTGAAGACCGAGGCATTGCTCTCATCCGACCAGTTAATGGTGCAATGGCTGAACCAGAACGCATTAATGCAACTGTAAGACACTTTTACCATGAAAAGATTCTGAAAAAGAAACCCGGTGAGGTTTAGCAATGTTGATCTTGTATTGTTTTTTTGGCAATTGTGTTTCTCGTGCATAAAGTGTGATCTATCTTCTCTATACTGATGTTACTGGAAAGGTCCTTTATCTGTCTCCTAATGTGTTGCTTGTGCACCCACAATGGAATGTGTTCATCACCTAGCATCATTTAGGGATGAAATGGTAGCAAACATGAACATTTTTGTAAATATGAATCAGAGATTACTGAATGGCAGATGTTTAGGATATCTTTTTTTTACAAATTTTGTGTGTTAGTTACATATAATGCAGAGTGCAAGGTGTTAATTATATGCTCGTTTTGAATTTTTTTTTTTTTTTTTAAATAGTATTTCTTTTCTTAAAGGGCTGACACTTAAAAAAATAAAATTGAAATGAGTTTTTTTTTGTACTTTAAAAAAAAATAAACATAGAGAAATCGTTAAATATTTAAAACATAAATTACTTTTATTTTTCAAAAACTCTTTCAAAAAAAGCTCCCATAAAAAAATATATAAAAAAAAAGCTCTTCAAACTAACTCTTAAGAGGACTTCAGTTTGGATCCAACTCGATATTTCTTTTATCCTGTCGAGTCAAATACAAAAAGGGCAAAATGTGAGTACTTTTGAATGACCCAGACAAACTAAAGTTCCTTTCAAGATAGATATATTGAGGTGAGATTCATATTTTTGTTTTTATTTTTATTTTTTTAGTGAAACTCATACGTATTTGTATCTATCTCTAACCTAATTTTATGTTTTAAAAGGACACACAATATTCCAAAAAAAAAAGGAGATACATTTTTCCCATACAAAAAATCTGTTTTTGTATTTCTTCTCCTCTTTCTTTTGTGCGAGATTCATACCGAGTTCTTTGTGGACTGTGGTTAAAAGACAAGCTACTCGTGAAACCAGCAAAAGCAAAAAAAAAAAAAAAAACTCCGTTTTATAGGTGTCTTTAAAAATCATCATGTTCAATCAAAACTACATTTAAGGGCAATTTAGTAATTAAAATAAATTATATATACAAATTGTGAAAGGTGGGGGTGTATAGGAGACCGATCAAATCAAGCTTTAACTTAAATAGAAAATATTTATGTAAAATATTTATGTAAAATATTTCAAGTCTAATTTGACTTATTACTATGATACAATTTACATTATAAGTTTGCTTTTACTTATTTTTTTAAAATACAAAGTTTGGTTTGACATGTCAAGCTTATCAAGCTTGCACAAATAGCATATTGTACTTTATAAATTATAGATTATGATTATTTTGTATATTAGATGAAATTACTACCCAAAATATTAAAATTTTAACTACGTTTGCTAAAAATAAAAAACGATCCATTGAATCAAATTATATCGATATTTTCTAAGATAAATGCAATTTTCTAATGTATAAAAAAATGCGATTTTCTAAGATATAATCAATGTTATTAAACTCGACTCGGTTATCGAACCGGTCGAGGTACTGTGTCACTGGTTCAACTAGTGGATCACTGATTCAACCGCATGACCCGATAAATATATGTAAATTTATAATTTTATATTAAAATAATTATAAATATACTTAAATTCTTGTAAAAAAAATACACCAATTTTAAATATTTTAATATGAAAAATAAGGAAAATGTTATATTTGCTATCTCTTTTTCTCATTACCTCTTACTATCAAATCTTAACCGTTGATTTCTACCAATCCAATGGTTATAATTTATTAGAAATTAATAATTAATTAATAAGTATGACTTAATAAATTATAACCGTTAGATTAACGAAAATCAATGGTTAAGATTTGGTAGTAAGAGGTAATAAGAAAAAGAGGTAGTAACTATAACATCTCCCGAAAAATAATAAATTACATATCATTGTCCAACAAAAAAGTAATCAAACATATAATATTTGTTATACTAATGTTTCAGGTTCAGTAAACAACATTTCTAACTATAAATCAACTCAAAATTTCCTACATATTGCATAATCAAGATAATATTAGTGTTGTAAGTACATAATCTATGTAAATTAATAAGCTACAAATCGCTCAAATATTTTAAAAGAAAACAAATCATTTGTGTTTGAGAGTTAAAAAAAGAAGAAATCAATTGATGAGAATAAATTAGTTTTTTTTTTTTTTGCAAACTGAGCCGGGTCACTGGTTGAACTGACCGGGTCACCAATTTTTGCAAAAATCGGCCGGGTCATACCAGACCGGTTACATGACCGGTTCTGTAACATGACCGATCCCATATGAAAATCGGACCGGTTACATGACCGGTTCATCGATTTCCGAGTCGACCCGGCCGGGTCGGTCCGGCTTTTATAACATTGGATATAATTATAATAAAATTTCTTTAGCGAGAGCTAACCTTACTATAATATGATATTTTCGGCTCGAACAAAATTATCATCTTTCTTAAATGATACATGTAGTTTACCTAAAATAGAAACAAAAAACTATGATAAAATGATGGGTTCATTTTTTCTCCTGTCAATGGAGATAAGTTATCTACATTTGACATCGTTTTGATTTGAAAATCAAGATATTTTTGTAATTATTATTTATTTGAGGGTTGTAATAGTCTTTCTCATTATAATTTTTTAAATTTTTTTACCCAAAATAATGTAACGTAGATAATTTATCTGTAGAAACATTTAAAAAAATATTTGGAATAGTTAATTTAATAGTTAAAATAATAAATATAATTTAATTTTAGAGTAAACACCCTTTTTAGTCCCTGGCAATATCTACGAAGTCCTTTTTAGTCCCTAGCAATAAAAAAGGACCAAATTGGTCCCTGAAAGTACAAGAAAAGGGCCACTCTACATATTTGGGAGTTGACATAAGGACTAACATGACCTTTTTTTGTAATTTCAAGGACCAATTTGGTCCTTTTTTATTGCGAGGGACTAAAAAGGACTTCGTAGATATTGATAGGGACTAAAAATGTGTTTACAAGAACGGGTTTACTCAAACAATCATGACACTGGAAGGTTCAACACAAAGGATTGTGTCTACCATAAAAAGCCGCGGTTCTCAGGTTCTCTTGAGAAATTCAAAAAGCTTGAACTCCGTGTGTTTCTGTTTTTCGAATTTCGAATGCTATGAGAGACAGAGAGAGATTCGTCAACCATCAGAGACAAATCTCACAAGGTGATGGAACCTCTTCTTCACATTCACTCTTTTGTTTTCTTATTATTATTATTATTATTTTCTTTTTCGTTTCCCTTTGGTTTTGCATCATTAGGTGATGAATTCCCAAGCGCCTCATTAACGATAGATAAAGATTAAAAATTGAGTCTTTGATAGGAGTTTTCCAATCTTTATGCGATTTTCAATCATGGGTCGCGTGTTTGAGAGAATAAATTTATTTGGTTCAAGATTCAGTTCTCTTTATTCTTGTTGTGATCATCAATGGTATCTGAATATGTCTTGGAAGGTGTTAAATGATGAGTCATTGTTCAAATGAACCAACTAGAGTTAAATCAGCTTTGGTTTGTATTGGTGGACTCAACTGTTGTTTCTTTTTGCTTCATCAACTTTCTTGATGGTCCCTGTTAATGTTACAAGCAATTAACTCTCTCTGGTGATTGTTTTTCTTTCTTTTTCTTTTCTTTTAATTTTTTAAAAACAAGAGCGAAAGTGGTCTTCATGATCAGCTTTTTGCACTCTAAACTATGAAAATTCTGATCTTCCTTTTTTGGGGTTAGAATCTCGTATGCTAAAACTTGTAACTTTATTGATGCTGCTAATGTGGACACACTGAATTGTTGAATAAGATTTTCATTCAAAACCATCTGAGAAACTCGTTATTCCTTTCATTCCTGACAATTATGTTTCCTTTGTCTTGATTGTCTAAAGTCTAAAGTCCACAGTTTTTAATCCATGCATGTGTGAATATGAACTTGTGATGGTTGGTTTTCTGATATGTAGCATTGATGTGTAAACATATATATAAATATACATATATGTTGTACCTGGTAATTACGATCATATATTGACAAATACAGGGCGTGTTAATTACAGATATACAACCTTGAGCTACATACATAAGAATAGACTGATTAGATCGTTGTTGAAATCCCTGGATGATGGCTTGCTCCACTTCTTCAAGTGCAAAAGGAAAGTCAGTGGTAGTGGATGATGTTGCTTCGAGGAAGCCTCGGATTATAGTTGCTGCTTGTGGAAGTGTTTCTTCGGCTGTAAATTTTGGACTTGTTTGTAAACGTTTTTTAGAATGGGCAACTGTAGCAGCAGTAGTCACAAGATCATCTCTACGTTTTATTGATAAAGACTCAATTCCCCAGGGTTTAAAGGTGCTTAGTGATGAACACGACTGGAATTGTTGGAAAAAAATAGGTGATAGTCTGCTTCACATTGAGCTTTGTAAATGGGCTGATATCATGGTCATTGCTCCACTTTCAGCAAATACTCTTGGCATGGTAATCAAACTGATAAAAGTTTGCTGATTTTGCTCTTTAATTCTCTCTACATTGTCATATGATAAAACTCGATATAAATAATCATTTCAAACCGAAACCTTAAGCTCTTCGGGCAGTGAGAATCAAATCGATGACCATCTGGTCACGAGTTTGATCAACATCAACAACATCAACAACACCTTTATCCCAAATTAATTGGGGTCGGTGGTAGATGAACCCACATGAAAGATACAAAACGGTTGAAAAAAAGTAAAAAAAATAAAATATAAAAAATAAATAAATAAATAAATAAATAAAAATACACAAATAAAATAATAAAATAAAATAAAATGAAATAAAAATATATGTATATATAAATAAATAAAAGTAAAAAAGAAAGGGACAAGAAGAAGTGGGGGAAATGAAGGGGAAAATGACTAAAAAAGGACCATCTGGAACATAGGAATAACAGCGAGTCTAACCCTCCACCATACTTATAGCTTTTCTCCATTCCTTTCTAAGACATACTGTCCGCCAATCTATATCCCACTCCATTAAATCTTGTTTTACTACTTTCCCCCAAGTAAGCTTCGGCCTACCTCTGCCTCTTTTTGTGTTTAGCTCTTGGTAACAAACTTCTGTTCTTACAGGAGCATCCATGGGTCTTCTCATCACGTGCCCAAACCACCTCAATCTATGTTCTCTCATCTTCTCGGCTACCGGTACTACTCCGACCTTTCGTCGAATATTTTCATTTCTTATCTTATCCATCCTTGTGTACCCACACATCCACCTTAACATCCTCATCTCTGCTACTCCCTCACGAGTTTGATATCTTGTAAAAAATCATTTCAACCTAAAAACTTAAACTATTAGACGAAGACCATAACTTTTTATGTCTCTAACACCGGCCTGTATAAGACTTGCCTGTTTCATTAAATGTTTAGTTGTCATGTTTACATCTTATATATATATTTCTAATTAGAGATATGGTGTTGCAGATTGCGGGAGGGTTGTGTGACAATCTACTTACATGTATAGTGCGAGCATGGGATAGCAAAAAGCAAATGTTTGTTGCACCATCCATGAACCTTTCAATGTGGAATAATCCTTTAACAGAACAGCATTGCGTGTCCATTGAAGACCGTGGCATTGCTCTCATCCCACCTGTTAATGGTGCAATGGCTGAACCAGAACGCATTAATGCAATTGTTAGAAGCTTTTACAGTGAAAAGATTCTGAAAAAAGAAACCCTGTGAGGTTTGGCAATGTTGATCTTGTATTGTTTTTTTGGCAATTTTTGTTTCTCGTGCATACAGTGTCGATCAAAACTCATAAGTTTCTGTATACTGATGTTACTGTAAAGGTCACTGTGCTGTCTCCTTTTTGTGTCTCGTAATGGGTTGATTGTAGATGTGTATGCTCTTTGAACTTTACCTCTCTTATACACAATGGAAGGTGTTCACCTAGCATAATTTGGGGATGAAATTGTAGCCAACGTGAACATTTTTGCAGTTATGAATCAGAGATTACTGAATGGCAGATGTTTAGGATATCTTTTTAACAAATTTTGTGTGCTAACTATATAAAATGCAGTTTGTGAAAGGGATTAAGTTTAATCACTAAACTGTTTCTAGCCTTAAAATATGATTAGTTTTAGCCTTAAATGGAGTTTGAAGTTACTCTAGGTACTTTGTTAATGGATTTGACCCGTATTTTAGCCATATTAGTTTCGTGTATGAGGTTTGCCATATGATTAGTTATATATATATATATGCACAATTTTTATTTATTTTTTGGTAAATATATATACACAATTTTTATTTACAAACTCAACTATGCACTTTGAACTCCTTGAATTACATAGTTAAGTTTACAAATAAAAAAATTTATAAATATATCCTGACCTTATATATATATATATATATATATATATATATATATATATATATATATATATATATATATGGGAAGGATTATATTTACCACCAGCTAAACTTATCATCCTTACAATCAATCTAATCATCGTTAAATTAAAATTAAATCTAATGATGATTAATTACCTCTTATAATCTTAATTTTGTCTCTCACATCCCTTCTCCTCTCTCTTTCTAAGTTTTCATCCAATCTTTGTCTCTCTCTAGTATTTCTTTTGGGTAAACAAAAGAGGCAATGCCCCCAAAATAACAAAGCAAAAACAAAACAACAAGAAAAAATAAACTAATTAGGTGCAGCAGCCCAGATCTGAGTAAAAGATCCCTCAAGATCAGTGAACTGAGTAATAAAAAAAATACATTTTTAATAAGATTAACGAATGACTTAACAAATTTTTCATTGTCTTTGACAAACCCAGGCCATTGCAGTATTCTCTTAATCTTCTTAGGATCCGTGAACATTCTCAGTTTGGATATTATGTTGCCCAAGTATCTGAATCATTTCTCGTTCAGGGTGTTGGAAGCCTTTACCACAAATGCTTTAGAGTTTTTTTTTATATATATTCATCCATTATCCTTCCTTGCCTAAAAGTGGCGAGACTCTCATATATGTTTCCCTAAGTTCAATCTCTAAATTGTTGAATCAATGCTGCCATTGAACCTTCCAAATCTAGAGAGAGAAAGAGGTAGACAAAGAGGGTAGGGAAACCTAGAGAGAGGCAGACATAGAGGGGAAGTGAGAGAAAAAATTAAGATTATAAGGAATAATTAATTACCATTAGATTTAATTCTGATCTAGCGGTGATTAGATTGGTTGTAAGAGTGATAAGTTTAACCGGTGGTAAGTATAATCATCCCTATATATATATATATATATATATATATATATATATATATATATATTGTTTTATTCGGTAGATAGAGATATCTAATTAGAGACTAGTGTGTTCATCTTGGATCTAAAGGTTCTCTCTCAAGCATCTATGAGGGAGATATCTTAGAGATCAATGGATCACTATGTACTATAATTAGACAGCATAGTCAAGGTGTGAGGTGTATGCACAACAACAGTCAAGAGAAAGAGGGTTGAGAAATGTGTACATGAGTGGTTTAACCCTTTATTCATAGATGAGTTCTCTGGTATAAGTGAACTCATGTGCCTCTTAGGAATATTGAAAGTCCAATTCTTTATCCATTGTTGTTGCATTAGAATAAGTATAATTAAAGAATCTTTCCTTAATTTCCGTTATAGTTGTTAGCTTTTCTTCAAATGTCTAGAAGTCTTTATGTCTCGTTAATGACATATATAATTAAAGGGATAAGATATTATGTTTATTTCATCTATTCCTTTTCAATATAATTATATCAGAATCTCAATTAATCTTCATCATTTTTCTCTAAACTAATACTATTTAATTTTTATTATAAAAATTGTAAATTTTAAAAATAATATGATAATTTTTTGTTTTTTTTATATAAACCTGAAGAATATATTCTCATTCAATCTCTTACCGTCATATTATTCTCGGAGTACGACCCTAAAAATTATCTCTTCATTAAAATAATAGGTGCATTGAGCTATGTCATGTAAAAGAAAGATCAGACTAATTTCTCCTTAAATCTCTTGCCCTAAAAAATAATACCATAATTTCTTTTTCTTTTAGAGCGATTACCGAAACATACCAATATAAAATTGGTGAGAACGTGGAAACAGTCTTCACTATCTGAAGTCTTCAAAAGAGGAACCTACGTGCTAAGTTCTAACATTGCTGGCATTAATTTTGTAATTTTCCCAAACGCCACTGGACCCTTCCGATGACTCGGTTCCATGTACCATTACTTACTTCAAAAAACATTTATTTAAGTAAACAAGCAAGTCAAATACATATTATTTATTTTTAAATTTTAATAAATTAATATTATGATCAAAAAAAGATCTTTAAATTTTTTTTATATTATTCATGGATTATCCAATTAAATGAATTCGGGTAGAATCACATAAATGTCTTCCATGTATCAGTAGAAAATTTGGCAGCTACGCAGCACCTATTTTTTTTAGATGAAACTCTGAGTTGAAGAGTTACTCAAAATGCTGTCAAGATGTCAGTATCTTTAATTTCAGGAATATAATAAATCAATTTATAATTTTAAACACCAACTTTGAACTCAAAAATTGCTTTACAATTCTACCTTTTAAACATTTGTTTAGATAAGGAGTTTAAATCTTGTCTAAAGCAAATTTTTGAAAAAAATTTAAAGATCAGAAGATGTGCCTCTATTTTTTAAGAGAGATTAGTCTCATCTTTTTTCCAATAGCAAAATTTAATGCACTCTCTGTTCCAATAAGGAATAGCTTTCGAGTCGTACTTCGAGAACAAAGTGTCTGGAGAAAGTTGAATGACAATAGGCTTGAAATTATAAAAAAAAATAAAATCGCTTTACAACTCTATACCTCTAGTTAATTTGAAATAACCTTTTATCAATTGATCCATCTAAATTACTAACCATTATTGACAGAGTGTTATTCCATCTTAATTAATGATTTTTTTAATTCGAATAGTATTAGTCGCCGATGATTTATTAAAAAAAAAAAACATTTAAATTGACATCCAAATCCAATCACATCGAGATAACCCTTCCTCACAAATCGCAGCTCCGATGGCGCCGTTCATGGAGGCATACCTCACGGTATTCGCTCTCCTTATCGCTACCGCCGCCGCCACCGGAACTGGATACCGGAACCACACAGTAGGCGACGGCGCAGGGTGGCTCTTCAACTCCACGACCAACACGTCAGCTACAAACTACTCTTCTTGGGCTGCAACTCAAACATTCAGCCTTGGCGATTATCTCAGTAAGCTCATTCCCTCTCTCTCTCTCTCTCTCTCTTATATACTATTATTGCACTTTTCATAATTACGACGTCGTTCTATATACCTTTGAAAAATGCCACATTAGCACACACAAAAATTTCGAAACCAGAGAAGGAAATCGCCGATTGCACATTTGCAATTATACCATAAATTATTTTCCTCAACTTTCTCGGGAAACAAACAGAATAATCCGATTCATTTTCCTCTTTTTTTTTCTTAATAATTTTAAATGCTCAGTTTTCAACACGAACTCGAACGAAACCGTGATTCAGACTTACAACAAGACCTCCTACCTGAGTTGCAGCGCCGACGACTCCGATAACGGCACCTTCGTGTACGACGACGGAAGCAGTCAATTCGGCGAGGCGTTGACCATTCCCGTTCCGTTGACCATCGTTGGACCCAACTACTTCTTCTCCGACAACGACGACGGCGTCCAGTGCCAGCACGGCTTGGCCTTCGAGATCGACGTCCAGCACGGCCTCGGCTTGCCGCCGAGCCTCAACCAGCCGCCTCCGCCGCCGTACATCGAACCGCCGGGTCCTGACACCGCTCAAACTCCGCCTTTAATTTTGGCGCAGCCCCCTAACAGCGGCGCGTACGTTAGCTGCGCTGACGTGCGCGTGGCGGTTTACGGCTTCGCTGTGGCGCTGCTGCTGTTGAAGTAGTTTCAGTGAAGAATATATTAGCTTACGGTGGGGGCGCAGCACTTGATTACTTTTTTTTGTTGGAAAAGGAGATAAAAAAAATAACTGCACAAGCTGTAATTCATGTGTCCAACTGTTCTCATTTTATTTTATTTTTTTATTTTTTTTTACTTCTTATTTTTTCAACTCAACCGTTTTTATTAGAGTTTACAATTTACATGGATGAGAAAACTATCTTTCACTTTTCATAAATTTGTGCTTTTTTTTTGTTTTTTTTTGTTTTTAACTTCTCTTGGTTGTTTACTTAGTATTTTGAATAATAATAGCCTATACTTCTTTCTTGCTGTATGGAATTGGACATGAAATTGAGCTTTGAAACTGGAATTAGATCTTCTAATTTAAATTGTAATTTTTGGTGTGTACATTATAAATAAATAAAATTCTAATTAAGTTCAATTCTATGAAATTAAAAAAACAACTATTTAATGCTACATTTAATTTTTTGGACAGATCTAAATAATTTCATTTCTAAGTAAGCAACGTCTCTATCGGCGTCGTCTGGCCATCATTGTCACCTGAGTGTTTTAATTACAATTACAGCCAAGCGTCCTGCAATGGCATTCTAATTCAATTGTACTGTGATTCTATAACCGAATTCTTTTTTTGTCCCAAACATCATCAAAATGAATATTCTTAATCAATTACAATTATGATTGAATCACAATTGAAATTAAAAATTGTATTCTATGGTCCAAGAAGACCCAAGTTCTCTCAAGGGCTTACTCACCCATATGCTTCGTACATTTAAAGGAATTAATTAGATCCCTAACTTTATAGCCAAGTACCTTTTGCTTCTAGAAAAAATCATTGTCAAAATATTTTAAAACTTTAATTTTATTTTGGTTTCTCAACCCTATTTTGAAGTCAATTTCCCCAAACCCTATTTTAAATATTATTTTTGATATGGATAATTTTAAGTATGAAATACATTAATTTAAATATGTTTCTACTCTTATAAATTGTAACAAGAAAACTTATAAAAAAATTATATGATTCAATTTTGTTTAGTGATAATATTTAGTTGTGTAAATAAAACAAAAAAAATGCCATTTTAAATTGTGTTTGTCATGATAAGTGATATTTTTATGATACAAGAATCTATCAAATTATTATATGTCATGTTTTATATCTATAAAATTGATAATTAATAACCCTACCTAAACTTTTATTTACCAATTTTTTTTTATAATCAATAATATAGCTAATTAATTCTTGAACTCAATTAAAATTAATAACAGCATTAATTACCTATTACAATAATTTTATTGTTTAACAAGTATTAAATTATTTTTTAACTTATAAACTAATACTTACCGAAAATTATTAGAAGGTAGTTACTTTTTTTGTGTGGCTATATCAAATTTTAATTTGTTGGGAGGATGTTGCAAGTAAAATTTTAACTAATTTGTTAATTTTTTTTTTTTTTTTTTTGGTAAACACTAATTTGTTAAATTTTACATAGTAAAGTATACTTGAATGAACCGCGCATTGAGAGAGGACAAATAAACGGTTGAATCCTAAAATAAAGTTGTTGAAAAACAAAATAAAATTGTGGCTTTTTATTCGATATAATGCAAAAATATAAATATTTTATCGGTTTAAATTTTTTAATAAATTATTTATTAATTTAATGCAAATGAAATGCATATAGGCAATGCGCAAATTTAAATCACATATCAACTCTATGCGCTGCAACGCAATGCAAGATGCACCATATTGGTATTATGTGTTCAAGTTGAATATGTATCATGCACATTTTGCATAACATAACACATAGTAGACACATTTTGCCTTGTGCACAAGTCGCATACAGAGTGATACACGACCTGAATGCATACGGTCATCGTACGCTTCTTTTCATATTATATTGATAAATAATTTATCAAAAGAATTAAATAAGTAATATATCTTTAATTTTGCATTTCCTAGGTAAATAAACCAAAAATTGTGGACAAGCATAAGTAATGCATTAATTTATTGAGGTACTTGATATGCATCCAGCATATGGGAAAATCTAAGCCAAAAAGAGAAAGAATGTTAATTAATCTTATGCAAAAAGGCAATAATTACTATTGATATGTTAAAATCTCAATCAGAGATTGCACAACTGATTTTGTGTTGATTTCGTAAGAAAAACAGACAAACTGGAGCTAAAAAGGAAATTGCTAAACTGAAGGCCCACGCCGATAGCTTGGGTGTGGCGTTGGCAGCGTGAAGAAGACTTTTCAGACAGAGGCATCCACGCTACTAGCGTGAAACTCACGCTAGTAGCGCCAGAGTTCAAGAACAGCCCGAAGCATTCACGCTACTAGCGTGGCACTGCGCTAGTAGCGCCAAACTTTCTTGAAATCCACGCTTGCAGTGTGGAACCCACGCTAGTAGTGTGGAACCCACGCTAGTAGCGTGGAGCTCCAGTATTGTGAACAAAACTCCCACGTCACAACGTAGGAACCACGCTAGTAGCGTGGGAGGTGCGGAAAATCAATATTAAATCTGATCAGTACCAGCAAAAGATTAAAAGGAGATTTTAAATGAAGACTCAATCAAGATTCTACACAAGGTCAAAGACTCTATAAATAGAGACTAAGACCTGAAGAGAACGGAACTTTTGCATAGAGAGAGATTGACGGAGGCAGAACGCAGCAAGCTTCTTTCCCAATTTTCTGGTTTTTATTTATTTATGAATTCTTTTCAATACTTTGAATTGTCAGACATGAAAATGTCTGGCTAGTCTTTTATTATTGTGGTAAGGGTGACAACCCTTGATGTGAACCCCTTGTAGTTTGATTAATTTTTATATTTAATTATTTCAATTGCATTTATTTTATCCTGTTCTTCATCTTATAATTCTTCTAGAATTGATCACTCTATTAGAATTGCGAGGTGTTCTGTCTGAAAGACAGAGATGTCCAACCGGTGGCTGGTATATTTTATGTAGGATCTAGGTGCCCTCTCTCAAGTATCTATGAATGAGATACCCATGAGGGTAGGCCGATCACTGTGCACAATAATAATCGACATAGTCAAGGCGTGGGGTGTGTGCACGGTGACAAGCTAAGAGAGAGAGTTTAGAGAGTGTGTGCACCTTATTAGTTTAATCCATTATTTATAGATGAGTTACCTGAATAAGTGTACTTCTGGGCCTCTTAGGAATATTGGGGGCCCAAGTCCAACTGTTTAGCTGTCTGGATATGATCGTCATCAATAGGAGATTCCCTTCCTTTTGTGTTGTCTTTTATTGGTCCTTCTAGAATATGAGCCTTTGTCAGGTCCATAACATGAGGGTTAAGGTTTTCAATAGGAATATTGGGATTCTAGTTCCTGATAAAGGGTAAAATAACAGTTCATGTATGCACTAGGGATAGGCTACATGAACTGCAAACGTGAAAAATTCACTAGGTTAAAGGATTAACTTGAAAAAGGATTTCTAAGGGATTAGGGTTTTAATAGGGTTAATAAGGTTAAGAACACTAAGAAATTAGGGTTTAACCAACCAATTAATAGATGGTGAATTGTTTGATCAATGAGTAATTAAATGTAAATATTAATTAATATTACAAGGTGGGGATCGGAAAGGTGTTGGCGTCCTTTACTGCAATAGCTTTTTAAATATTTTTCTCAACTTTAATATTTTATTCTCAAGTTTTCAAATTATTCTTTGAATTGTTCACAAGTCTTGAATAGTTCTCAATTTTTACAATCACAAATATTCTCAAAACCAATTTTATTAATCCAAGAAAGGAATAGTTAAAATAATTTCGGTGCCTCAATCCTCGTGGAGACGATACTCTACTTACCCTTTTATTACTTGGTACGATCGGTGCACTTGCCGATTTTACGCAACAGTACTATTACAATTTTTTCTTTTTTTTCTTTTATATAAAGATGATAATGATGGTTGATGTTATATTGGTTTATCCAAACTAATTAAACTCATTATTAGTAGCTCAATTTTTAATAGTTTATTTATTTCTTTTGTCCCATCATGTCAAAAACCAAAAAGTGTTGTTTTAATTAATTGATATAAGACAATGACACACGCAAAGGAAAAAGGAAAAAAATAAAATAAGTGAGACTTGAAAAATGTTTGTGGACAAGCGTTGCAAGTTCTGGAAAACAAAGAGGATTTTGACCTTATTGTTGTGATTCAGAATTATGTCAATCTAGAAATACAAAAGTCTATTATGATCTCGCACAATCTACATGCGTGCATGAAGAGATGGACTTTAAGGCAAAATGTCATACAAAATAATGTGAATTATACAAAAATGAAAGCCATACTTGTTAAAAATATTCTTATCATAGTGAGTCAGTGACACATATTTGAAGAAAGCTCGTGACATTAATAATATGTTTTAACAAAGCATTATTTCTTCAGTATCATGTCTTAATTTATAACGTTCTATCTTAAATTCTTTTAATTGTGGCCAGTGTTTCCTAATAAGTATTATATCTTAAATACATAATTTGCATTGAATGTTTCTAATTTACAATTTAAAATAAGAAAAAGAAAATTATTTAATTCTAAAAATGAAACTTATATTTATTATTTTAAAAAATATTAAGAAGTCGGCTTAAAAAGAAAAATAACTTTCAAACTATTGGGATGTGTTCCTCCTTTAATGCTATGCATCCCAAGCATACATTTTATTTATGAGTGCATGACTCAGACAATCACCTTATCATAGATGAAGACTTTAGAAGAAGAAGGTGTAGGGTTTTCTCTCACCTGTATAAGCTTGAGAAAACCATTTGTAATGAGCTTATGATAGTTGATTGTGAGTGAGTTTATTCTGAAGAGAAGTTTGACTGTGATACCTCTTTAGCGAATATATACATATAACCACCATTGTTTGTGACGCTTAAGTATACCACCATTCTTGATAAGGTTTGAATGCATAATTATCAATATCGTATGATACACAATACAATTCGTACAATACGATACGATTCACAAGTACAATGATACGTATCGTGGGGTGTAACAGAAAGTTATTTGTATCGGACGATACGATACGATACATATCATATATCATACGATTTGAAATTAAATTAAAATTTTTAATTTTAATAATAAAAAAGAAATAAAGATTTGATTTATGATTTAAATTAAAAAATCTAAAAAATTATTATTATTATAGAAAATAAAATAAAAATTTAATTTATAATTTAAACTCAAAAATCATTTTAAAAAATTTATATTAATAAAAAAATTTTAATATCTATTTTTGAATTATCTTTTCTTATATTTTTATATCTTATGAATCAATATGATTCACGATACACAAAAATCGGCCAAACTAGTTATTGCGATTTAACAATCTTGTTTGAGGGTATCTCTAGCGTGACTAGAGTGATCTTTTTGTCATTCTGCTAGTGGAAGATTTTTTACCCCCTACCTTACGTTGAAATTTGGTGTGTCTTATTCTCCATTTCCCTATTTTTCTGCGTTTTTGGCCTCTCTGATGATCCCTGACAGTTTGTTGTGTTGGCCGACCGACACAAACATGTATAAAACAAGAAAGCATTGAGAAGTACTTTAGAAAAAAAAAAAATTAAAAAAAATAATCTTCGAGTATAAGTAATTTAAGAAATAAAGTTAAAAGAAAAAACAAAAAAGTGAAAAAGTCCAAAAATCCAAAAAAGTGCAACCTGGAAGGAAAATTGAAGGGTAATTGATGCTGAGCGTGATAGTGAGTCAGTCCCTAACGAAACAAGCCTTTAATACTCTTCAAATTAACGTTACAAGCAAGAAAAAGTTCACAGTTTTGAAGCAAACTCAAAGAGACAGACACAGAGAGAGAGAGAGAGAGAGAGAGAGAGTCCTATAACGTACAAAACAGAAAAATAAAACTTGGGTTTTCTTTAAGTTGCACCTTTTGGTGTTCTTTTTATCAAATCTCACAGTAAGTTTATATTTTGGCTTGATTAGTGTGTTGTTTTGCAGGTTTCTCTCCTAAATTTTTGTGCTTTTTTCGTTTGGGTATCAGTGGTTTTGATTATTATTATTATTATTTTTTGGTTTTGTATTGAAGGGGTAGCGGTGTTTGGACAGTGGGAAAATGGGTTTGTTTTCTGGGATTTTTCTGGGGATGGCATTCGGCATAGCATTGATGGCTGCGTGGCAGCGCATGATGAGGTACCGAAGCGCCAAGCGAATTGCAAAGGTACGGTGGTTTTGTGCTGTTTATCTTGAATTTGGGTTTTGTTGAAGAAAAGTTGATGAATTGAGATATAGTCAGTAGGATGAGTCCCTGAATATTTAAAAGAAAAACTGGGAGATTTTTAGGTTCATGGAACAGCCAATAACTTACTAGTGCTTTTTAATTTTTAATAAAGCATGTCATATTGAAGGGGTGTAATCAATGTGAGAAAAGAGTCATATGGGGCTGCAGAACTATGACTTTGAATACAATTTCTCTTGCGAAAATTTATGGGATTAGTGTTTCTACAATTGTGTCATTTTAGTCAAAACTATTGTGTTTTAGGATGAGAGAAAGTGGGAAGATATTTTTTTAATTTAAATATTAAATAAAAAACACTAATTTTAATTAAAATGACTGTACTTTAAAATGACAAATATTTTTTCCAAAATTTATATTCTGAAACATTGTAGCTCAAAAGAAACTGGTGGGAAAAGAAAAATACAGAGTATGCTTTTGTTAAGAAAAATAGTATGGAAATAATTTGTCAATTTACAGAATTGATGTCCTCTATTAAAAGGCAGGAGCAGACCCTAATTAGCAATATCTCCGACTTGAAAGTGTTCTTTCGGAGAAATACAATCAACCACTGCCTTAAACACAGAGAAGACAACTGTTGTAGGAATTTGAGGCCTTAGACCTATATGAAGTTCACAATCTCTAGTTGTGAACTCTTGGTGAAAACTGAAAAGTTGTATCATCAAAATATGGAATTTCAGAGAAAATGTTGATTATTTTGCAATTCTTAATTTCCAACAAATTCTCCACTTTGTTCTATCATTTGGTGTTATGGAAGACGATATTCCATTATAGAAAAAAGAGGGGAAGTTTAACTAGGGGGGGATGATAAGACATACTCCAGAGTAGAAAAGACAAGAAAAAGAATGAACCTGAAAAAAAATAAAGATTGCAACAAAATTATCCAGCCTCTTTGCATAAACACAATCATATTACAAAGCAGGTTTAGGGGCAGGGAGATGCCCTTAAAGATGTGAGCTTTCTGCTTCAACCAAATCCAATAGAGAACCGAATGAGTTGCAGACTGCCACTAAATATTAGCCTCCTTGTTTTTACCAAAACCTTTAGAGTGGAACATTGGAAACCATTCCAAGGTAAAAGTAAGCACCTAGCATTCACGGACAGTCCGACACCCAAAAAAGGGTTATTCCATGTGGACTTAGTATACAAAAATGAATTCTCTTCTGTTAATGAACTACATAAACATATCAAGAGAAAGAGTAGTTGATGCCTTCAATCTGCAGCAAGTCATTTTCAATAATTGCTTTTCAAGCAAAAAAATTGATATTAGAGGAACTTTTGACTTCCAAATGGGTTTGACTATGAGAATCTCTGATTATTAATTAGGAGAGTAAGCTAGAATTTGGAAGAAAGCTTTACAAGATAACACTCCAGAAGATTTCAAAGCCCAACTCTCCTTTCTCTATATGATCAACTCCAAGCCTGAGTGTCCCTTAGACAAGGAAATTTTGCATTCCAAAGCTGTGCACTTCTGCTTTGTACTAACTCACATTTACTGTGGTTGATTTTTAATCCTTAAATGTCTTGAGAACAAGTCAAGGGCTTTAGGACTGATTCAAAAGATCTTACTTTGACCGATGCTTGCCTTTAAGGTTCAGCTTGAATGTGAAAGAACTCAGGAACTTTTAGGGTTTACGAAACCATTGACAAACACCTTACTCTAAGTGGTTTTCTAACTTACTGAAATTTTGGTTTTTGATAGAGCCCATTGGTATTGATTGATCCATGTACTTGTAGGTGACTCCAGCTAGTGGGATGGCTTGGTTGTTGTTATTAGTTTCAAGGGTTATTGGGTAAAATAGTAACTTCACAACTTTTAATGAAAAGGCAAGCCTGGGGAAAGAACAGACTCCCAAAGAAACACAGGAATATTTTCCCATCCTGTGGGTTCCCTTTCCAATCCCTCTATTCCACAATCCAAACAAAGCCTGAAAGTAATGTAAAATAAATTGCGCTCAAGAATCAGAAACAAAGTGTAAAGAGAAAGTTGGAAATTTTGAATGCAGTCATTTTCAAAATTATCATGAAGTTTAAATCAAATGCCGTTTTTTTTTTCAAAGTATAATTCAGAGGCATGGTGGGTGCATATGTGTTGTGTGTATACCATCATGTGTTTTCTTTTCTTATTAAATCCTGTATTGGTATTAGAACAAAAGGTATATAGTGCTCGATAATTGTCATTGTCCATAGTTTTATGGAGTATATGACTATAAGTGCATAAATGTAACTCTGTGTGTGAAACTGCACTGTAGTGTATTACAAGATATTATAAATGAAGTATGATGGGAAAATTTGAACCAGAGGAATCTTTGCTCGTTGAATGACATCTAACGCTGTTATCTCTGCACAATGAGTTACAAGCAAGGTAGTTAAAATCGAGTATTTACCTAAAAACGGAAGGGGGATAAAAATTCAGAAAACGTAAAATCGTAATAAAAAAATCGTAAAAAAGTAAAAGTGCTTGGAATGTTGATAAAAACGTTTTGATGAAAAAAATCATAAAAATGTAAAAGTGCAGTTTTAAAACGAGTTTTTAACTACTATGGTTACAAGCTTATCAATCATTTATCTGTTTGTATCATAAGCCTGTGACATATGTCCAAATTGTGCCCTTTCCCTGTGGCTGTGAACTTCAACATGGAGTCTGGATCCTGGATTCTATAGTGATTTAACCACACATGGAAGAAGACAAGAAAAACAGGGAGATAAAAAGGAAAATGAAAAAGGAATGCATCATAACTTAGAAAGACCCATACTATGATTAATACTACAACACTAGCAAGGATATCTTGTGTAGGGTTCCTCTGGGGTGAACATAATTATATTTAACAAAAAATTGTCGCATTTTAATCCGCGGAGATATGTTTTTTCTACTTTTCTTAACATTATTCTTTTTTGTCTGCAGGCAGTTGACATTAAACTCCTTGGGTCCCTTAACAGAGATGATTTAAGGAAAATTTGCGGTGATAATTTTCCTGAATGGATATCTTTTCCCGTATATGAGCAGGTGGAATTTTTGTCTGTCATTGTGATTACTTAGCTTTCTACTGAAACGATTTAACACAACACTCCTATTATTCCAGTATTATATATTGGCAAAGCATCTAATGCAACTACAACATTAAGATTTTGAAACTCTATTTCTTGTTTCCCAATTCAAATACTGCGCATGTGCTCTGTATATGACCCTTCCTTGCATGGGCTTTTTCAGGTGAAATGGCTAAACAAGCAGCTATCCAAACTTTGGCCATTTGTGGCTGATGTGAGTAAGCTTGCATGCACGTTATATGTTTGTATAACTATCTACAACATTTTGTTTGGTGTTTTTACGTTGATTTCTGGCTGGATTTATTTTCTAGGTTAGACTGTGATGTTTCTGTTGTTTATGTAGTATGTTATTTTACAGAATATATTTTATTCGTAATCAAGATCAGATTGTTCATTTATTATGGTATGACATTATATTGCTTCTAACACCCTACTAGTTGTCCAGTTTGAAAAAGAAAAAGAGTATATTGGATCTGTTGGTTATGGGGAGAGACTAAATTCAGGATTCCTCATTGATAACTAATATAATATAGAAACTCAAAAAACAAAACCATGAAAACTGGATTTCATTCGGTATTTAGTTAGGTTTGTATCTCCGTCTTCCCATTACTAGATGTTATAAAGTGACAATGTTTGCCTGCATTTTTGTAATTGACTTAACTTTAGGTATCTTACATTTAGTAAATATGGGTGATGTTTATTTTCATGAATGATATTTGCATTTTGGACATTACCTGCTTTGTTTTGAATGTACCATGCTTCAGATTCAGTGTCCCCTTGAGTAAAGCTTATCTATACTGATATGCCAAAACATGGGTATGGATCTGTTTGGTGTCTGGGATATACAAAGTTTATCTTCAAAAATAGGAAAGTGGGGATACAACAACAACAAGAGCCCTTTCCCACTAGGTGGAGTTGGATACATGAATCAAATGACACCATTGTGCTATGTCAAAAAATAAGTCTTCAGAAAGGCAATCTAGATCTAAATCTTTTTTAATTGTTTCTCTTAGAGTTATTAAAAGTGGAGACGATGGAGCTATTTAAACTTTTTATATTAGTCAAAAGTCAAGAAATTCGGGTGAGTGGTTATTATAATTAATTGAAATAAAACAAAAAAAGGTGGGTATTCATGTCAAGATAGTATTGATTGCTATTTCTGATATGCAGAGAGATTGGCAAGATCGCTGCTTCTTTTTCCTTGATTTTTTTTTCAAGTTCATTTTTTTCTCTAGATTTCTTTTTTTCTTTTTTTAATGAGGACATGTTATCCTCCTTGATGCAAGGCATGGGGAGCCAATGCTAAGCATAGATGCTATGGTGATATGAACCGTTCTACAATATATGGTTACGATCAGCCTACTTGTCATGAATCACACCCCTTAGTTGTATTCTCTTCCTTTCCCAGTAATAATTTTTATTCTAAAGAAGTAGCTCAATGCACAAGGTTCTTTCCATTGTGGGATCTAGGGAAGGTATTTATGCAGCCTTATTTGGACTTGAGAGGCTGTTCCTGTGACTAGAACCTGTGACCCCTAGATCTTGAGGCAGCAATTCATTAAAACCAATAAACTGTGTGTATGTTCTCTGCAACATGCACCTTGCTTTCCTTAGACATAAATCTTTACTCTTGTGCTTAGGCTCTAGGAGACTTTTCTACTTTGATTTTCCTTGCAAATCTTCTTTTCAGAGGGGTAAATAGCTGACCTATCTTGGTATGGATTGTGATTACTTTTAGGCAGCTACATTGGTGATAAGAGAATCTGTTGAACCACTATTGGAAGAGTACAGACCCCCGGGAATTACTTCATTGAAGTTCAGCAAGCTGTCTCTTGGAAAGGTGCCCCCAAAAATCGAAGGTATCACTTAACAGTAATTCCTCTCCTCATTCTTTTCATTGCTAAATTCACTACTGCACCTAAGGAATGCATAAATTCAGATAATAAGGTTGATCTGTCATTCTATTTTACAACATTTCTTTTAGGATGCTTCGTATGTGTTAGAGAAATATTAAAATCATTAAGGTAGCCTCACCCACTAGCTTAAGCTTTTGGATTAAATTGATTTTTTACATGGTGTCAGAGCCTTGGTGTCACGGGTTCGATCCCCACTGCCTCCATTTAATTAATAATCAATTAAGTCTTGTGAAGTTTCTTAGCACAGGTAGATGGGCCTGTACATTGTCCACCCTTCAAGCCCAGTGGGCTCTCGTGTGAGGGGGCGTGTTAGAGAAATATTAAAACCATTAATGTAGCCTCACACACTAGCTTAAGATTTTGGGTTGAATTAGATTTTACAATATGTAACAAAATTGTGATACTTTTTCAAGGTTATAACAAAATTGTGGGTGCTAAAATGTTTAGGGATAGGGGAGGCTGCCCCATTCCAAGGTAATGGCATGCCACAAGCCTCAACTAGGGCTTATAGTGGTATTTTCAAATGACCTACCAAAGAAGGAACCCCATTAGGAATCAAAACCAAAATCTTAGATTATTTTATATCTAAAAGCAATACAATCCTGTCTGGTTCATAATATCTTTTCAAAATCAGGGAAAGAAACAATTATTGTAAGATTCAAGATTTAATATGTCTTGTGTTAGAATATATCTTAAAGTAATTTAGACTATCTTAAATTATCTCTTAGGATTTGTTTTCGTATATCTATATATTTCATGGTTTGTTTCCTTATTTAATTAGGATTTGGAGTCTTTATTAGTAGAAATAGGATTTATTGCTTTGTAGTTTTGAGCACATCCGTTGTACCAACATACCTAATTTATTCAGTCTTGATTATCTCTTTTCTTCCTTGCATACATAAATTCCTATAATTTCAACATCTTGGATCAAAGATAAATCAATTAAATGGATAAATAAAATCTGGAATAGCGTGGTTTTACAATCAATCAAAATATTTAAGGTCTGTCATATGCAACGTAATCCTTGCAACAATAATGTGGTTTGTTAAAATCTGTAAATATATGGATTTCGTGCAGTATTGATGATATTGTTATTAAACTGTTTGACTTGAAACATTCAGTCAGACCAAACAAAATGTTATGAGATACAATTTTTATACCACGTTTTTTTCTCCGTCAATTTTTTTGTTGAATTTTATTTGTATATCTAGATTTAATACAAGCAGTTTTTTTCATCCATGCAGGTATTCGTGTTCAGAGTCTTAACAAAGGTCAAATCATAATGGACATTGATTTCCGTTGGGGTGGTGATCCCAATATTGTTTTGGCTGTTGAAGCTGCACTTGTTGCTTCAATCCCTATTCAGGTTAGACTCAGAAGAGTGTTTTTCTATGTTGAATTTCATGTTCCCATAAGAAATCTTCAAAATTGTGTTACTGTCTTTTGCTTCAGTTGAAGGATCTCCAGGTTTTCAGCATTATTCGTGTTATATTCCAACTTGCTGAAGAAATCCCCTGCATTTCTGCTGTTGTTGTTGCCTTACTTGCTGAGGTAATTTATTTGTTCTATTCACACTGCCTAAATCAATATGAATTCTTGGATTACTTTGGATGATAGTAACTTGGGATGCTAATATTAATTCTTATTCTTGGAATTGCTAACTTTTCCATTAACATTTAATCAGCCAAAGCCTAAAATTGATTACACACTGAAGGCTGTTGGTGGAAGTTTGACGGCACTTCCTGGAATTTCAGATATGATTGATGTGAGTTTTATTTTATGAACTTGTCCCTTTTCCTCCTCAAATGATTTTGAATTAATATTTATAATCCACTCTAACTTTTGCCTAACTTTTAACAGGATACTGTGAACTCAATTGTTACTGATATGCTCCAATGGCCTCATAGGATTGTCGTTCCACTTGGGGGTATACCTGTTGATACTAGGTAATGTGAATCTTATGGAAGCTTTTTCTGCTTCTCAAGTTTCTTTCTGAATGCGGATCAAAGCATGTCTAGGTTTATTACTATATCTGATAAACAATATTTAAAATTGAGTTTGATATTGATGTGGAAGTATTTCTTAAGAAACGTGCTTCTGTTTCTTTTTTTGTTCCTCCTCCCCCACCTTAAAATAAAGAAAAGCAGATTGGGATTTGGGAATATGCCAATTTCAATGTTTATGCTCAAATATTTCGCACTGCATAAGCTCTTCTGTTTTTTTTTTGCAGTGAACTGGAGCTTAAACCCCAGGGAAGGCTTACAGTGACTGTAATGAGAGCGAATGATTTAAAGAATAAGGAAATGATTGGGAAATCTGATCCTTATGTAGTTGTGCATATTCGACCACGGTTTAAGGTTAAAACGAAGGTTATTGATGACAATCTGAATCCTGTTTGGAATGAGGTATTTGACTTGATTGCAGAAGACAAGGAGACCCAGTCACTCATTCTCGAGGTTTCACGCCACTAATACTTTGCACTCTTCTTTTTGTGCTACTTTATTCTGCCTCCTTTGTTAGGAATATGCTGTGACCTTTTGCTTTCACTACTACTCGAAAAGTAGAATGTATCCTCTTCACTTATGCCAATTGCTTATGGATGAAATTAAGAAATTTATGAATAATTTATTTTTTTGGATATTTTAAATGCATGAACATGAAAGTACCCTAAATATAGTTTGTTCATATGCTTTGATTTGACAAGCAGTAACATAAGTTAGTTTTTCAGAATTACCATTCAAATATTATCACATTATCGTGAGTAGGGTTATTTTGTACAATTCTTTTGTGGAAATAAGAGTGGACACAATTTTGTTTCCCAATAATATTCTACTAAGATTAAGCATCAATTGTAATGTAATAATCATAATAGAATAAATCCTCTTTGAAATTTGCTGGATTCCTTTTTGCGGTCTGGACCATAGTTGATACTTTATTTTCTTCCCTTAAAGGTTTATTAATCTGTCTCTACACAGCTACACCTGTTAATTTGAAATATTCTTTTTTTTCTCTCCCTCTAACTGCACAGTTCCTAGTATACTATTCGTATTCTATGATTGATTTAATAAAATTAACATCAATAATTTTCATGACTCTGCAAATAGGTTTTTGATAAAGACATTGGGCAAGATAAGCGATTGGGAATAGCAAAATTACCTCTTATTGACCTGGAAGCAGAAACTGAAAAGGAGTTGGAATTGCAGCTGCTGTCATCCCTTGATACTCTGAAAGTGAAAGATAAGAAGGATCGAGGATCCTTGACCATAAAGGTATAAATAGATGTTATTGATTTATTTGTGTTTGGGGATGACATCATAACAAAATTTCTTGGGCTATGCATGATATATAATAGATGAAAACTGAGAAATAGAGTGGAACCTTTTTTCTTTCCCTTTAGGTTTTCTGATCATGCTATCGTTAGCGCATTTTACTACCTCCCTATTTTTGTGTTCACTTACACTACTCTCTTTTAGAGTGCGAATGCTCCTTTGTGATCGTAAGGTCAAATGTTTGCAAAAATGCAAGTGTAAGGGAGCGTGCAATCGACTCTCACTCACCCCTACCATCGCAAAGAGTTGGGGAGCCTGTGTACATTTTAACAGGATGTTGTCTTAGTTGATTTAAAGTTATAATCTAATATGAAATTTCAGATCTTCTATCATCAATTTAACAAGGAAGAGCAGTTGGCTGCACTGGAAACTGAGAAAAGGATACTAGATGAAAGGAAGAAACTGAAAGAGGAGGGAGTTATAGGAAGTACAATGGATGCAATAGATGGAGCAGTATCAGTAGTTGGGTCTGGTGTTGGACTGGTTGGTACTGGTGTTGTTAGCGGTGCTGGGCTTGTGGGAAGTGGAATTGGTGCTGGAGCTGGGCTTGTTGGCAGTGGCCTTGGTGCTGTTGGTAGTGGACTGAGCAAAGCAGGAAAGTTTATGGGTAGGACAATCACAGGGCAAGGTGTATCCAGAAGGAGTGGTTCATCTACTCCAGTCAATAATGTGGAGGAGAGTGGTGGTGGTGCAAAGCCTCTGTAACTGCAAGAGTAATGAAATGACCTTGAATATTTAGTTTAAACTCTCACAGTAGATGTATATTACCTATGTTGCTTGTTCTTATATATATATATATAGAGAGAGAGAGACATTTTCTGAGGCTGTTGTTGATGGAAATAGATTGAAGACTGATAGCTGAAATGTGGATTTAGTTTTAGTTGTACCATCTTTATCTGTAATTATAGTTTAACTTGGATGTGTAATAAAACCGAACAAATTGTAAAAATTCCTGTTATTCGTAGGAAATCAAAGTGATTCAAAACGGAAATTTTGTTACAGTAATTATGGTTTATCTTTATCTTTAGCTGCCTTAGAGCAGACGGCATTAGGTACTCCATCTGAACCCATGACCGTCCTAAATTCATCAGCCCCGCAATGATCTTCAATTCTCTCCTTTGATACAAGCTCAATTATCGGCTTTTTATCCTTGTGATGCAAAAACACAAACATATAACTGATTTAATTCTTTTGGTAAATTATGTACCAATTTAATGCGAGTGAAACACACATATTGAGAATTGTGCACGTTTAAATCATGCATCATCTTCATACGCAAAATATACAAAAATCAACGCAATACAGGAAGTGCAAATCATGTCACGCATTTTGTAAATCATGATAGTGGTAGGTGCATTTTAGCTTTTGCATTGACGAGTGAATTAAATGCTCATACTCTCTAGACATGTTTTATTCGTATTAAATTGGTAAATAGTTTACCAAAAAAGTTAAATCTGCCATATGTTTGTGTTTGTTTTTTTGCATCATAAGGGTAAAAAAACCTCAATAACCTCATCCTCGGCATTTCCTTGAATGACATGATTGTTTCCCCCCTCCATAGTTCCATGGTTCTCTTCATGGTGTCATTGTTGTTTCATTGGAGAAGTAAGAATCTCCCGCTTTATTCCGTTTATTGCTGCTCCTAAGGATATCATCTTATTCCTGCGTTTTTTCAATCACCTTTTGATTCACCTCCGACATCATCTGAGAAAAATAACGTGTAGTTACTTTTTAGTTTCTCATCTCTCTGTTTCTCACTTCAATTCACTTTTCAGCTCATACCTTTCAAGCTCAATTAATTAACTCAATCAATTTTTCAGAAAACCAAATGAAAAATATTATATTTGTCGAGACCAAAAATGTAATTTAATTTTGTTAATAAGAAATCATAGATTTGTAAGCAATACGTAAGTAATTCATGTGCTGGATTTTGATGTCTAGAAGTGAGTAAACTAAAATTATGGGGAAAAATCATTTTCTTCATTGACTCATTTTTCACGTTTTTACCAAATTCACCAAATGCCCGGAAATATATTCCGACCATATTTGTACACAGTTTTTTTAGCGTGCCATTCACCTTAAACTTGTGATCTAGCCCCCAATTTATGCTAGTTTTCCAAGTAGCAACTCTTACAAGTGGAAAGATAATCCATGACAAGATGATTTATATAGGAAGATTGCACTTCATGCATTTGTAGCCAAACTTTAGAGAAAGAAAACTAGCTTGCATTCTTTGGCCCATATATTATTCATGGGATAAGTTATTCTACCTATTATTTTTTCTGTTTTTCCTTTGCTTACCACTCTTCAATACCGTTAGATCAGAATCTTAACTAACATTTATTTTTCTCTCTCTTCTTGAGATTATGATTTAACGGTATTGGAGAGTGGTAGGCATAGGTAGGCAGAAAAAATGGTAAGTAGAATAACTTATCCCACATAAAAGAGATACAAAATTATATAATAAATTAATGTGAAGTAATCTAATGATTTATAGACAAAGAAGATGTATACTAAATTATATGGTCATAAAATACACAATTTGAAGCAAGGTACAAAAATAATGAAGGTAAAACAGAAAATACAGACCCAGATAATATTTTTATTAGGTATAGGTTATTCTACCTACCTTTTTTTCTGTCTACTTTTGCCTACCACTCTAAGACCATTAGATCAGAATCTTAATTAACATTTATTTTTCTCTCTCCTCTTTAGATTCTACTCTAACAGTGTTGAAGAATGGTAGGCAAAGGTAGACAAAAAAAGTAGGTAGAATAACCTATCGCTTTTTATGTTTCGGAAAATTTTATGGCGAGCTCAAATTTAATTAATTAGCTTTGCCAAAACTGATAGTTTGAAATTTATTATTTCAAATTACTATAATAAAGTGGACATTGATATTTTATATTGTAGATGGTCTTGTTAAGGATAGCCCTATGATTCTTTTTTATCAACATTGTAGTTTTGTTGGGTACTTTGGGTTTAACTTCCATATCAATTCATATTGAAATATAATGATGCATGGAAAACGATGGGTAAAGATTTTCTGTTTTTGCTCTCTTAGATTTTCACTTATCTCACATAAATTTCATTGTATTCAATGTGTGTAACGGATTTTGATGGGTCGTGGTTACAACATGCAGGAAAACAGCTTTAATGTTGCGGGATAACGAACGGTGACTATTTTGTCACGTTTGGACAAAAATATTATCAGACTGCCACGCTAACAGTAAATTTTGCCAAAATACCACGCGGCATAATTCGCTACACAGTGTAGCGAAATATGCCACGTCAGAACCGAAAATGTCATATGTCAAATTTTGATAAATTCGCTACCTTATGTAGCGAATTTCTCAAAATTTGACATGTAGCATTTTTGGTTCTGTGTATTCTGACGTGGCATATCACTGTGTAACGAATTATGCCGCGTGACATTTTGACAAAATTTACTGTTGGCGTGACAGTCTGGTAATTTTTTTGTCCAAGCGTGATACTTTGATCACTGTCCCGCAGGATAAGTACAGTCTCGCTGCAGTAAGTGTCATTATAAAGCTTAATTTTCTACTCTCTAAATATTGTATTTTTCAATGTTGAGATCATGAATGATTTAAGGATTATGTTCTCTTCCAATTCTAGGTTTGTAAATTGGTTGTTTTTGGATACAGAATCACCACAAAAATAGTATCAACGTCGAATTTTGGGATAACCATCAAGTTCTGACAACAAGGTATGTGCTTGCCAAGGTTTGGTTTAAAACCCTTACTCTACCCTGTTTCTCTTGCAATCACACTTGGACACATGTGTGATGTAACAGCCCCAAACCCTGTAGCATGATATTGTCCGCTTTGCCCCGCGCACAAGCACCGTCGAGCTCACGGTTTTGTTTCTTGGGACACCCCACAAAATGCCTCACACTAGAAGAGGTATCCACACCCTTATAAGGCATGCTTCGTTCCCCTCTCCAACCGATGTGGGACTTTACATCCTCCCCCACTGGGAATACAGCGTCCCCGCTGTACACACCGGTCCAGGGCCAGGCTCTGATACCAAATGTAACAGCCCCAAACTCTGTAGCATGATATTGTCCGCTTTGCCCCGCGCACAAGCACTGTCGAGCTCACGGTTTTGTTTCTTGGGACACCCCACAAAAGGCCTCACACTAGAAGAGGTATCCACACACTTATAAGGCATGCTTCGTTCCCCTCTCCAACCGATGTGGGACTTTACATGTGATATGTAAATACACATTCACCCACAATGTGTGCATGCACAAAGGTGTGAACGAGGAATAAATCTTTGGTGCTACTATTACATCTAGATTCAGTACATCTCATCAATAATAGCATTGCACATAAGAGAGAGAGAGAATTTCGGATGACATAATATTTACATTGGTGGAATGCAATGAATCTTTGGTGCAACAGTAGCACCAAAGATTTATTCGTGAATGAAAAGATGATTGACCATGGTTTTTTTTTTCTCCTTGTTAGGGAGTTTTGGAGGCACTTGTTGGTAGAAATGTTGGCGGGATTGTGAGAGAAAAAGTTGAGGAGAGAGGAGAGAGAAAAGAGATTTTTTTTTTAATATATGTGTCAATTTTTTGAGTGGAAGGATCACGGTGATCCCTGAACATATTAAAAAAATTTCTCAATCTTTATCACGAGTCCTTGAAGCTTTTAAGACAGTTTCAAGCTAATCATTTACACAATCCAGCAGCTTAAATTTGCAGGATTATTTTGCACATGGCAGTCGTCATACTAATTTAAATTACATTTTTTTTCAAGAATATAAAAAAGATGGAAGGTTACTCCCTAAACTATTTTCATAGCATATGTTGTCACGCAGAGATAATGAATGTGGAAGCATCTTTATGTACTTTTCAGATAAGGGACGTGATGTTCTGCACTCGGCAGTGTTCGTCATGTAAACAGAATCTTCACAAGGTTTATGGTAAATATTAATTTGCTTATGCTTCAGGGAATATTATAATTTGAGACATTGGTGTATATACCCAGAAAAAGGTTTGTTATCACTTATTTATGGTTCTTAAAATAGTATAAATATGTTGAGACTTGAGGAAAATTGGATGTATATTGTTTAATTTTATTGGGAGATTGACTGTATATATATGAAATAATTCGTTTATAATTTATCCACACACTTAATCCATTGGTATTTTAAATTATCAGTTTATGCCAACCCATTTGTCAATTTTACTTGTGTCAATCATATGTATTAAATATGAAGACTTCTATGACTAATATATAATTTGATTTTCAATGTAAATCAGGGGGTTAGAGTCCTGTAATCTCTAAGGGATTCCTGGCAGAGCTGTCATGCAATTATCTACATTGATTTTCTTTCTTCAAGTGTTGATGAGTTGAATAATAAGTAAGGATTGTGTTGAGAGAACTTGTTTCAGTTAATTTTTTATTGGTGGGGTTGAATGTGTTGAGCTTCCTCCTTCAATGCTAAGCCCAAGCCCATTTGAGGGGTTTCCTAAACCCTAACCCTAATTTCCACCTCCTCTATATATACTCATTAGTTATGGGTGGAGGCTAGGTCAGATTTGAGAGAACAAATTTGAGAGAAAAATTGTTTGATTGTTTGAGTAAAGCTTTATGCTTTGCATTTGAGAGATCTCTAGAGAGAGTTTGAGTGAAACATCTCTAGGGTAGTTTGATTATCACCATTGTTGGAGAGGTTGAGTTAACCACCACATTGGTGTATTTGATTATTTGTAACCATTATTTTCATAGTGGATTTTTGATCTGGACTAGGTCCCGTGGGTTTTTACTTCTTCATTGGAGAAGGTTTTCCCACGTTAAATCTGGTTGTGTTCTTCTTCTCTCTCTCCTGTTTTTGTTTTGATTTTTCGTTGCGCTGCCTGACCTGGTGAAGTTCAGGCCGAGGTATTGCCGAGATCCGAGA